TGTGGCACAGTCTTTCACTAAGTGTTTGTTTCTCTGGAGGGTGGAGGTGAACCGAAGGATGGGTGCATGACAGGCTGCCACTCAGTCACTCCTACATCTGTCCCATCCCTGTGCGTCAGTGTGACACGTGTGCTTCGCCACTGACCTGCTCCCATAAATCAGCTGGGCTGGCTCCTCACTTTGCTCCCTCACCCCGTCCTGCCCTCTCTCCGCTCCCCTCCTTCCCTTTTTGACTCTCCTTACCTCTCAGCTGTCTTCATCCCCCCTCTGCCAGCATGCCCATGTCTAGTTCTCTATTCTAGCGGTGCACCACACCTGCACTGCGGCTGTCAATCAGCGGGCAGGAAGGAGGAATCAGAGACTGCGCTCAGTTTAGCATGTTTGAGGCCATGTGGGCATGAAGTGCTGCCTAAGGAATTCAACCAAGTGAGTAGCTGCATTCTTGTCACACCCTGTCTCCCCTTCTGTCTTGGGCAAATTGCCTCAGCTATATTTAAGCAGCGAATGGTTTGAATTATACTTCTTTGTGAAAGCGCCACTTTCTCAACATGTCAAGGAAGTTTGAGATCTTACTTACTTTATTCTGTACCTGTCTGCACTCTCTCCCTCTCTCACCATATGTGTGTATGTCCCTCTTTGTCATTTTCTTCCTTTCTGTATGAAATGAAAATGAATTTGTGGCGGCCAGTGGCAGACATGACGGAAGTAGAATTTCAGGCCTCGCGCAGTTCATCACTCAGTTACCTTTTAATGATGTCTGAATGTGAAATTGTCTTTATGTGTCTGAGACCCCCCCCCACCCACACACACACACACACACACACACACCCCTTTCTTTTCACTCGCCCTCTTGCGCTTCTTTTCTTTCTTTCAGAATCACTGTGGAATAGTTGTATAGGTGACTGAGACAGGGCCACTATTTTGGAAGGCTGCTTAGTGCTTTAATAAGACGTCTCATCCTTGGGCAGACAGCTTACTTGTAGCTCCAATAACACCTGATCACTCCAGACACCAGAGACACCTGAGTGCCGCTGTCAACACGAATTCAGCGTCAGTGCTGCTAGGTTAACTTTAGATGCTGCTTTCAATTAAACTAGAAATCATTTCTAACAAAACTAAATTTAGAAAACATCTATTTTCAGCAGTTCAGTCAAAGCAGATCCACATTAATTACATTTTTTGCACTTTAATAGAAATTATTTCAATAACTTGCTGTATACCACTTAAGGATAACACACTGACAAAGGTCATGGGGTTTCCATTTCTATATCAATTTAGTGTCTGTTGATGTAAATGTACCAAATATTTTGTCTTCTCTAATTCTACATGCGGACCTCAAAGAAAAATGCATCAGTGTAGCCACCGACAGCATATTTACACTTGTCAAAAGCACCGAAATTACCATACCAGGACAAAGGCAAGATGCAAATTCCAACATAAAGATGTGTGACCTAGCATGTTATAAGGCCTTAAGCAAATTATAGTAACTATTTAGACTATTTATGGTTTGCTTTGAAGAGGAAGACAGAACATTTTTCAACCATGTTAAACAATAAATTATGGCTTATAATAGAAATCTATGCATAGATTAATCAGTGTAGTGCATGAAATGTAACAGAATTATTCAGTTTATTTTATTTATGAGCAATTTATAATTTATAAACATTAATCACTAAGTTTGATTGTGTTTTACCAGGATATTGTATATTACAAGTAAAAGGAAGACTATACCAGAAACATGTTTTGAATTTCAAACACTCACCCCCCTGCAGGCTTGAAAGGTGCCTCTGAAACGTTTGTAGCTTTGCACCTTTGCAGGGGATGGCAGGTGTAGTCGACTTGAATTCATGGTTTTTAAATGGAACGGTGATCCATTTTTAAGGTGAAAAAAGGTTCACAGAAGCTTTTCACTCTTGCAGTATTTTATGCTTCTCCACTGTCTCTTTGTATGTTTGGTATATGTGCTATTTCTCCTTGTCACTAACCGGGTAAACAATGCTTTTTCAAGGGAGGCCAAGACTGTTATACACTGTACACAACAGCATGAAGAATGTACAGTTAGGTTTGACAGATAGTACACATTTATGAATTGATGTGGTTATCTGGAGTGTTGGAAGGTTTAAACGTTAGTATTTGGTTTAATTTCATTTGTCACAAGCATGGGTCATTTTTATATTAACAAGTATTGTTACATTTAACAGCTCTCATCAGCCTAAAAGGGATTTGTTAATATTAAAAAAGCCCTACAATACCCTACAAGACACTCACCCTAAACCTGTTTGACCATTATAAGCCTGCTGAGAAGGACACCATTTTTTAAATCCTGATGTCATCTCAGCGCACAACCTGAATGGTACTCTCACATTATCACTGTTTTCTATCTCTTTCTTTCTTTTTGTGACTTTCTTGGACACACACATCTACACACTGGTCTCGTACTGTGTCTGAACTTGCACCACAAAGCCATCACTGCACAGAGTCTGCCTGGTCCCAACAGAGCCCTCACATTAGTGGCATTTTGCACATTGGGCTTCACATATAAGTGATTTACTGTGATCATCACACCTGAATTTCGATGTGCTGACCCATTCTAGAAATACAAACAGGCGAGCAGCTGTTCTGGCAGGAAAGAGTTTGCTGTATTAAACTTACCACACCTTTCTTTTGTGATGTCAAACACTTTATTAAATTCAACCTGATTTTTAACATAAAGTATGAGATGGAAAGGTCATGAGCTACTATCGGTGTCCATTTGCCACTTTCTGCCACCAACCTCTGTGTCTCACAAGTATTAGCAACCAAATCAAGGCAGTGACACTAATACTGTAAACCAAATAATAAAATCAAATCATCACAAAGTGATGGGGTGGCTGTGGCTCAAGAGGTAGCGCGGGTCGTCTTCTAACCGGAAGGTTGGCAGTTTGGTTCCTGGCTTGTCCGGTCCACGTGTCAAAGTGTCCTGGAGTTGCTCCCGGTGATGTCACTGTTGTGGGTGAATGGCAAATAGTGTGAAAGCATTTTGAGTGACCATTACCTAGATTGTATCAGAAAAGAATATGCACCCATTTAAGGATCAGCTCATTGTGTAAGATATAGGACTAAATGTTGTTCCTGTAATTATAATGTGTGTGTCTCTAGGAAACTGGAATTTGTTACTATAACTGAAGCTTTAAAGTGCAGAATTATACTGTAGGTAATACTAATATACTAATATCTAGTATCTTTTCTGTCATATCCTCATACTAGTTACTGATCCAATCAGTCTTTAGAGTTCATTTGAGATCAGAACTGCTTGTGGTGTCATGGAAAGAGATTTCACTGCATGTACAGTAACTCTTATGGTAGGTTGTCCGCTACATTCAGAGCTCCACTGTGGAACATCCCTCCGCCGTCATGTTTTTGGGGCTGGAGGCTTAAATGTGTGTGCTTTATTATATGTTTTCTAATACTGTACAATGATGCCACCACTAAGCAGGTGTTTTGGCATAAAATATGAAAACTGATCCAGTTACTGTGATGGCAGCATTTTAAGGACATACTTCAGTATTTAGCTCTGACAGTTACAGTACCATTGAAAGGGTACTCCACTGGCTTAGTGTTGCACTCCTACAATATTGTCAGACTCGTGATGGGCGGTTGAAGAATAAAAAGGTGAAAATGGAAGCAGCAGAGCCAGAGCTATTGTCATCTTAATTCTACACATTCTTGTCAAAACCTGACGCCTACATCACCCACAATTCAACTGGACCGCTGATAGCTCAGTCAGAGATTTGGATGTGTTACTAATGTAGCCTTGAGCTGTCAGCCTCAAGCTGAGATGAGAAGTGTGCTTCCTTCTTTCTAACTCACTCCCCACCCTCAGATTTTTTTTTTTTTTAAATCTTGTGACTTTTAGTCTTCATCCCCATCTGAAGGCACCCTAAGTGACACTGGGTTAGATTTGTGTGGCTCCCTCTGGAGCCACAAAGGGTTTTGTACTATATCATTTCACATATGTAGGAGTATTTCCCAAGGCCTAAACAGACATTGGTGTTTAAAATTGATGGATTGCTACTTTAATGTGCTCTGGTGAAGTTTGTTTCAGTATATACAATATACTTCATAAAAAACAACTGTGTCTCCTAGAAATTGTTATGTATGCATTTTGTATAAAAGGAAGTCTAATTTTGACTGGAGAATGCTTCTGCTAGCATAATTAATGCAATATCTGCTTGTAGAACATAGAGCATTAATAAATGTTTATATAGTAATGTTTAGTCATTGCAGCACTTGATTGAAGTTAGTGAAATATTTTGTCCTGGTGTAATAGAGAAAAGTTCCAGAGTGGCTTGAATCATGAAACACAATGTGATTATCAACATTTAACCCAAATCACAGTCCTTCCCTAATCTTACCCAGTTGGGTTTGTATTGCCTTAAACAAACCACTGATGGGACTCAGGATGAAAATCCCAGTCGCTGTAGTCCTGTGCTTTGTGTGTCTGCCATGTAGCTCGACCACCTCCCTACTGCTCTGGTCGTGCAGAGAAACAGTGACTGTGAACATAATCCAGGTAGTGATTATATTTGTCAGCACAAAGTTACTGAGAAAACAAGTTAGTAATACATAAATGTTGTTTCTAAGAGACAGGGTTGCAAAAAAGATACTTGAGGCATAATCAAACACACCTGCTAAAACTGCAGTGTTCCTGCGGTTGCTTTTCCTGGGAGAGGTAATGCATTCTGGTCAGCTCTCCTGTCATTGCACAGTACAGGATTTTCCATTGATCTGCAGCTGTAGCCCCTCTAGTGTGAATCAAATACCAGAATCACAATTCCTGGGCTTCAACATTGTTGACTGTCTGACCATAATCAAATAAAGAAATGTAAAAAAAAAAAAACTGATACTAAGTCAGCAACAGTGTTTATGCCCAGTGTTTTGTGACAGACATTAAAAATTCTTCTTGTATCTCCCCCCGCGTTTGTATTTATGTGTGAGTTTGTATGTCTGTTTTCCTCCAGGTCAGGGCGCCCTGTCAGTTTCATGGTGGTCTTCAACACTCCCAGCCCCCTTAGTAAAATCTCCTGGGTCAACCGTCTGCACTTGGCCAAGATTGCACTACGTAAGCCCAAGGACACACACATGCGCACGCACACACACATACACACACACACACAGGGGATTACTGTGTCATTTACACAGGATGATGTAAGTTGATGAAATGCAGCAACAGTATTTTAAGTCAGAGGCTCAGACACATCATCAGTGTTTGTTTCACTCTCTGTTAGCTAAATGCACAACTGGTGTCGCAACTTAACTGAAGCTGTGAATTGGGTCATTTGAAGTTTATGTGCCGAGGAAAAAGCCAATAAGTTTAAATAATGTTAAATTAATAAGGTCTGTTCTATCTGTTGGGAAAACAAATATTACTGGCAAATGGCTGTATTGTCAGGACTAAGTTACATACTACACAGATCTTGAAAAAGCAACATCATTTTTAACATTCTGTACTATAAGTCTTCCTTTTTTATTTTCTGGATATCTCACTGACTGTGAGGACTCAATAGTGGTCAGCTTTCATGAAGGACCAAAAAAGCCAGACCCTGCCCAGCAGGGAGCAGCACAGTTCTTTTTTAAATCTTCCTAACCTCTCTCCTCCAACCCTTGCCACGCTCTGCCCAGGCCTTGGCCTGCTGTGCAGTCCAACCATGCTGTAGTACAGGAGTTTGGGGTTCATCATCGCGTGCTGTCATTCAGTGGCAAAAACAGAGGTGGGACCACCAGGGACTTTAATCTGCTCCTTTGGCCATGATGGCACACATATTCAGCCCACTCACAACCATAGTCCCCTTTTCCCATCCTTTCCTGTGCCACTGCAGGGCTTAGGAAAGGACAGGAAACAGGGCTGTGGGGGGACTTCCTTGTCACACAAACTTTATTCTGGGCTTGCTGTGCATGCGGTTTATTTCTGTGCAGTGTGCTTGTGTGTAGCTTTTATGGCTGTGGCTTCTTTCATACCAGAGGTCTTTGCTGTGAGCATCAACATATTCAAGGTGTCAGAGGAAGCTGTTGGAGAAAGATTGAAGGACATAAATGTTTGGCACAGATGGCCTGTGATAGGTTTGTTTATGCTTTTAATACCCAAACATAAACCTAGCATGATCAATGACACTTGAAGTGTGCTGTACTTTACAGTTATGCTGATTCCTAGCATCCCCTGTATCTTGAGATTCTGCATCCTTGCACATTACAATAAAAAAGAACAGACACACTGAGTTCTTCTCCCGTACTGCTGGCCTACCTTTCACAGCAAGGGTATAGAGGTGCATGAAGCATATGGTGCATCTGTAGACTCTCCAGTAGAGCTTGCTGTAGAGTGTATGGTTTGTGTCAGAGTGGCATCAAAACCCATCAGGCTGAATGAAGGGGATGCTATGGCTGCGGTGAAGCATAGTATCTGCAGCCTTTCCTTGTTGCCCACACCTTTATCAGCAACACAGCAGGTGTACTGATGAGGACAGTGGTATGGTTATAACATGCAAGTCTCCTCTCCTGTGACTGCTGTGTGCACATGGGTGATATCCAAAGCAAACCATGCTGGTTATTCTCAGCTGTCATACAGATGAGGAGCCGTGTGCTGCAGTGTTTTTTTTAAGACCATCAGTATCAAGTATGACTCGACGTGGAGAAAATTACCAGAGAAGGATCAGAAGTGTTTTTGCTTAAATTAATTAGAAAAACAGGATTGATTTGGCATTCAATCAGAAAGAAGACAAATAAATGTTATTGAATTTTCTCGCTTAAAGTCTTACACCTGTGGAAAACACACCCTGAAGACGAGACACAATGCTTTCAAAATGTAAATATTGCACATGATTTCTCTCAGTTTGAGTGCCTCTTAAACGGTACAGCTGTCTGCACATCTGTCTTCGCCATGCTGTTACCTCGTAGCCTTGAGGGTTTGTCATAGATGTTATACTTCTGTGTTAAACATGCAACATCAACTTAAAAACATAAACATACATGTTAAACAACAGAAAATCTAACTTTGACTTAGAAACATTTCAAATCAATTAACTGATTGGGGAAAACATTTACACCAAATTACAAATTGTATTACCTCTGCCAAGGATGTTATATCTTTGGCTCTGTGTGTGTTGGTTAGCAGGATTATGGACAAATGGCTGGATGGATCATCAGCATACCTGGTACATTTGTGGGGACCAACCATAGAAGTGGCTGAAAAGTGTCAAGGTCACAAAAAAAAGAAAAAATCACCAAAGCCTGACAAGAATTATATCTCTGTCAAAAGTTATCAAAATCATTTGAAATTTGACACACATACTGTATGTAGGGTGGCAGTGTCTATCAACAGACCACATTTCATCTGGACCTGATCCAGATTCCAGATCTGACGGCCATTTAAATTTGACATTGAAAACCCCATATTTTCTGCCATAGCTTGGCTTGTAATGAAGATAGAACCCTGAAATGTTCAGGTGAGATGCACAGTAGAACTTCCTATCATACCCTAAAAGATGATCCGGACCCAATCCGGATTAGGGATTTTAGGACACATTTGGACTTGTTCTGGATCTTTCTTTTCATAAGATCCATTTGTGTGAGCGAGTGCCTCTGTCTTAGTAATGTTACATTCACGTCATGTCATTTAAAGTGTAATAACTAGCAGCCGGGTGGGAAACACCTTTCACATCAACCTTCAACTTGTAATTCCAAGTCGGAGAAATTGGGAATTTTTGACCTCTGTGACCTCTGTGCTATAATTGCTGGTTTTGTTGTTACACACACTCTCCTCTATTTTTCCTAGCAGCAATAGATGTAACCCTCATATATTATGTAACCTATACAGTATTTCTGCGGTTTTGAAATCCCTGCAGTTGTAACTAACCGCAACCACATAGGGGGAGAGATGGCACCATTAGGATTGCAGCTAACTTCTCCTCCTGAAGCTTTACTCATTTTTACTTCATTTTATTTTTTCAAGACAATTATCCAAGGCCCTTTCACTTATACATCTCTCTCAACTGGCTTCTGTGAATGTATATACATATTCATCGTTGACAGCCCACACAACATCAAGTCCTCTCCATCTGCAGCCTCTTGTGGCCTCACACAAAGAGGTTGGTGGAAATGTTTATCATGATCAGCTAGTGAGAGCAAGGAGGTCATAAACACAAATATAGCAATATGTTACTTGGAATGAGTGACATAACATTTCATAATGTATAACATGATTCATGTATCTGATCACTTTTCACAGCTTTATATCCTGTATAGGGTCAAACAGGGGCAGGCAGTTGGGGTGAGTGACCCCGTACACAGGGTAATGTTGAATATAAATGCAAAACGTAAACTGTAAATTCGAATTAACAAGAGCTGATAGAACGTAGATGATATTTTCTGATAGACACTGTACACTAGAATAAAATTTGCAAACTGAACTTGTTGATTCTAATCAGCATTTTAAAACACCTTGTGTGTAAAACCACAAAAGCCTTTTATCATATTTGTTGTATATTTGATGTGTATGACCGACTGTTTTGTTTATTAATCTTTGTTGTAAAACCCCTTTAGTTAATTATAAAGTTAGTCTTAGGATACCACTGTAGGACGCTAAGAATAATTGTGTGAGGCCTTAAACCTTTTAATGTCAAACAGTTTAACACAGTTGCTTCAGTGATTTTTAGACATGGTGTGAACTACGGGGAACTGCAAACGTTCCCACTCAGTCTGCATGCTAAAGACAATTTTTCATTTAGGCTTCGTACGGTATCAACCGATATGGTATGATACCGTACGGTATGATACCGATGTACTGATCCGTCGTGGTGAAGAAGGAGCTGAGCTGTAAGGCGAAGCTCTCGATTTACTGGTCAATCTACGTTCCGACTCTCACCTATGGTCATGAACTTTGGGTCATGACCAAAAGGGCAAGATCCCGGATACAGGCGGCCGAAATGAGCTTTCTCCGCAGGGCAGCCGGGCGCACCCTAAGAGAGGGTGAGGAGCTCGGTCACCCGGGAGGAGCTCAGAGTAGAACCGCTGCTGGCATGGCCCACCGGGAGGAGGCCCCGGGGAAGACCCAGGACACGCTGGAGGGACTATGTCTCTCGGCTGGCCTGGGAACGCCTCTGCATTCCCTCGGAGGAGCTGGAGGAAGTGTCTGGAGAGAGGGAAGTCTGGGCATCTTTGCTTAGACTGCTGCCCCCGTGACCCGGTCCCGGATAAGTGGAAGAAAATGGATGGATGGATGGACGGTATCAAAAAGAAAACCAAGCCAGCTTAAGTTTAGTTTTAAGTATCACAGTCAGTCCTCTCTCTGTGGCACATGCAAGCGACTTGGTTTTCCGTCCCACATTTGTAAAACAGAAAATAAAATTGGTAACACTCAGGAATATGAATATGAATATGACTATTCACACAGGAGTAAAATGGTCTCTTTCTGTCTCGCTACTCTTTGAGCCTCGGTGTGCTGATTTACACACACCACCACTTACGGGTCATCTGTTTTTCTATTCTTCATATTCTTATCAATAGGAATAGTGATAAATATAGCTAAATCACATGCTTTGTAAATGCTGAATCTGTTGTTTTGTCTTAATAAATGCTGTATCTGTTATCACCCTGAAAGCCATGTTATAGTTCATGCACTTAGATTCCTACACATTTAAAAACTATCCATTTTAAATAAATAATTACATGATTGAACTTGTATGTAAATGTAATAAGCTTTAATCTGTTCTGCAATATTTAGTATCAAAATGCTATAATTTACTTTGTGATTTTAAACTTTAACTTAAAACCCCTAAAATGTAATCAATACAGTGACACGGACATGTCAGAATATGTAAATAACTCAAGTGTGATATTAAAAATATCAGAAAGAACCATATACTTTAATTCCCATTTGTTTGCTGCATCATTGAGTTCACATAAACGGTAATACATTGCTCATGACCACACATACATGGTGGCATTGTGACACACTGGTACTGGTTGTCGTCAGACCATCCATTTTAAAACAAGTGGTAAAGATGAGGGCGGAGTGATTTATTTCATTGACTCCCTTGTGGAAATAGATCAGCACCAACCTGGTCGGGATGACAATTACATGTTAATTGTATTACACTCACACTTTGCCTTCCCATTTAAACAAATGTAATTAGAATAAAGGAGTTGTTGATTTAATTTCACGGATGGCGTGCTGTCACCGAGGCTTCCCCGTCACTGCCGGCGGAGGCAGGCCTGCCCTGTGCTCATGGGAGATCTGCAGTTGAATCAGCATTTCAAATGCACCCAACCGTGGTCTTGTTTAGTTTGAAATGAGTGCCATGCTCCGAAATGTCCCTGAATGGTGGACAACACAAATAGCTAATGTTCTCATGCGTGATTTAGTGAGTGATTAGACGTCACAAAACTCATTTTCCCAGACCCATCTTCACACCAGTGTTTATCCTGTTACCCCCACTTAGAGCAAACAGCTAAATCTCTCTGCTGTGCTATGTGGGTGACTAGCAGTAGCTTTTCGTGACATTCCTGTGTGTTGATTTAAAGTCAGTGTATGGCCTATTAATATTGCCTTGTTAAGGCTTTGCGAGGCTTTCTCTGAACCCTTTGCACCTGCACGTTTTCATAAAATTTTGCAGCTTGTGCTTGGTGGCGGTTTGTTAACTGGGTTTTAACTGGAGATCGTTGCATTTTGCTCTGGCAGTCGAGCTTTACATGGTGTAATATGTCAGCCGAGCCTAATACCTTTCCAGTAAACAGCATTTGCCACTTTGTAAGCGCATGTGGTGCAGGTGAAACAGAAAGTGAGAATTATCCCACAGTGGTGCTTTGCCAGGAGCCCCAGAAACCATTAATAACCTGGTGTGCCACTGCATCTCTTATGCTCTCCAAGTGGGCCTACTGTTTCTGAAGGGTCTTCGTGAAATAGCCAGAAGCGCTGCCTAATTAAAGGGCTTTATCACTGTAGAATTAATTGCTTCCTACCCTGTAGTCACAGCCCTTTCCGACAGGGTTAAAGCTGCAGATTATGATGACCCTCACAAGAAGAACAAGAGGCCGTCAAATCATGAGAGACTGCTGTCGGGATGTTGGAGACAGAAGGAGTGAATGAGGGTAAAGAGAGCGGGATGTTGAGGGTGTGTGGGATTGTGTGTTTATGTGTGAAGGGGTGGCTGGGGGGTAGGGGTGAAAGGATGATTGAGACAAGCAATCAGTCCCACTGCAGGGAACAGAGGGCAGGCAGGGGGTTGTTGCCTGCGTTTTCACTACTAAGTGTGCCGGTCTTCCCCTTTTTCTGTCATACGCTGATCAATAGATGAGTGGAGATGTGTCTTGGAGGTTCTAGCACACACTCTGACGTGCCTTCCTAATCCCCTGTGTGATAACCTGTGCCATGTCAATGTATACCACACAGGAGACAAGCGGGGGGGGGGCAAAATCAACCCTGGTGCATGGGCTTAAGGAGAGACTGTGAGGGCTTTACTTTCATTAGCCCAGGGATTCAGATTGCTTGGTTGCTATGTTGACTGATTTCTTGCTATCTGCTCAGATCCCATTAACTATTCCTTATACTATCTGTTATTTTTTTGTGCTGTTAAAATATGTCTACTTGGTACAGAAGCTGGAAAGATTGATAACATTGTCAATATAGGCATTCAACATAATCACCCCCTCAAAAAAAGACCTTCACTCTGTATGAGCTGGAACAATTTTTTTCTTTGCCATAAAATTAATGTGTCAGACAGCAAAGATTATCTCCTTATCTCCCTGTGCTCAAACATGAGAAATGTTTATGAAGAGTAAACATTATCATGGATTTAATTAACAGATCCCACTCTCGCATTGATCCGTGGGAAATATCAATTGCACTGGTGTATTTAATTAGTCTATATCTTTGCCCTGTGTGTCACTTGGGTTGATAGAATGCCTGCTCTGCAAATTAATCTTCATCAGCAAAATACTTGTAACAGAAGCATGATTGGAATAAAGAAACTGAGAAACTACATCTCCCTTCTTACTATTCCAGCCCTACATCTCAACAGGTGATGGTTTATACTTAGTTATTGTACAGTAACTGGGAGTGGGTAGAAGTACTGTACATATAACCTTCAGTGTGTGGAAGGTTCTTATCTCAGTGTCAAACCGCCCACAGGAGCTTATGGTCAAGCTCAGCTGGTTTTGTGTGTGAGCTTTCATTCTTTAACAGTGAAATGATAGATTGCTTCATTATAGATTGCTTTCATTATGGTATAGAGCTACCAATTATTTTCACTAATGGTCAATCCTGTCTGCTGATTAGTTTCTAGATTAAGCATTAATCGATTAGTCTATGAAAGGTCCAAAAATAGGCAAAACGAAAAAAACAATAGTTTCATTACAGTTTCCCAGAGTCAAAGGTGGCATCATCAAATCCCTTGTGGTGCTAATGCTTCATGCATTGGTAGAAAACAACAGAAAGCAGAAAATATTCTCATCTGGGAAGCTGAAACAAAATAATGCTTGGCATTGTCAGCTGACTAATCATGAATGAAGAAGGGTAACTGTGTGTGTAGTTGTGTGAGTGTCTGTATTTAATGCCGTTTTCAATTTAGGTCTGTGCTTATCATCTGTTCACCATTATTCATCATCATTACTACATGGCAAAGACTGAAGGTTAAGGCTAATTTGTGTCCTCTCACAACCACTTGTCTCTGCATCCCAGTCTCTCTCTGTCTCCCTCCTTCTGTCGTCCTATCTGTGTGTGTGTGTGTGTGTCTTTTAAATTGGTAGCCAGATTCATTTTTACTGAGTAAAAGAAGTCAGCATACACAAATTAAACATCATTTATGCTAATCTTATAATTAGCTGAAGTAAGTTGCTGATTACTCTGGGGTAAAGGAAACCACTGGACATGCTGCTCCACCTGCAGCAGTCTGCCCTCAATTAAAGGCTTTTAATAAGTGACCTCACACCTCCCTGTGTCCTGGCAGGGGCTCACGGAGGGATAGGCAGCCCACAGGCCAACACAACTCCACATATAAATATAAATGACTGAAGCATTTAAACCTTCTAATTTTCTGCCCCTTTTTTCACAATAACCTTGTGGATAGCAGCACGAGAGAGAGTTAAGTGGATGAATTATAGTCTTGTATCTTTGATATAAGGCTTTTATGATCTGATGCACTTCCTATCTTGGACTTATTATTTTGTTACACTTCAGCCCTGTTTTTCCATGATCTCTACTCGCACCTGTTGCCCATCAGTGTAATCAACCAACCAGTTTATACACCAGCCATCAGTCTTTTGCTAGATTGTCTGGATACCTGTCCTGACACTTCTCTGCATTTGCTTCCATCATTTGTTTTCATTTTG